TTGGTGCTCTATATGCTGAAACGTCTGCTGCTCTGTGTATGCGTAAAATCCACTGGTCAGGACAAATATTAGCCAGAATGGTTTTATTGCCTTTATACTGTGATGTAACAATGTGTTATCGATGCGCGGTCGATCGACCTGGTGTTTGAAGCACGACAATTTTAGTGACGCCCGTGTCACGCAAAACACTCTTGACAGGAACTTGCACGAACGTTCTATGCGCGACAGATCTTGTTTAATTGAGTGGTTCTGTAGACGGCGGTGTAAATGATTTGAGTAAAGGTTCGTTCTTCTGACGTAATAGCTTCCTCATGTTTATACCAACGGGATGCATACGTACACTGTAAACTGTATTTCATTCTGGCCAACCGCACGGGTATCATGTAAAAAACCTATAAAACGTCAAAAAAAACATATAAGATGTCAACTAGAAGACCAGGTAGTTTTAGGGCGCAAACAGTCATTCCACGTTTGCTCACTAGGATCGTTGTGAACGTCCACATATGGACGAATCACTCAACTAAACTATGCATTATTGGTTGCATAGCTGTGTGCGGTTGAGTGATCCGGATCTGTAGTTTTTACCTCTGAGAAGACAGTTGGTGGACAGTTGGTTGAATAGCAAGATCGCATCTGGATGATTATGTGTAAGGGTCTGCATCTGTATAAAATCAGTGATATTTGCTGTGTGAGAAAATCATTACTGAATCTGCCGAATATGACGGGTTATTTATATGTTGTGCTTTCTGAAGACAGGTTATGTTCAAAGTTATAAAATACGAAAAACTGAGGAAAATTACGGGAAATCATCACCGCGCCCGCGTTGTGTGTAATTACTGTTGGCATGTATATGGCTTGTAATTCGACAGTGTACAGTGAATATAATTATTTCTTATCTCTCTCATTTTTTAAATTCAGCAAATTTGTAGGTATATGTAATTTCCAGAATGGATAAGAAAAAGTGGATGCGCAAGTAATTTCCAGCTTTGAATCTCAATTAAGTGTATTTGAGACAAGAATCCAATGTAATTAAAATCAACACATACAACTTACAGCTTAGACCTCCAGTAATGCCATCTCAGAAGCAGATTTTACATCACAACAAAGCCAAAGGTTGATAACAAGCCTCATCACATTTAGACAACACAGTGCTAAGTTAACGTGTAACGCTTCCTTTCCGCAAAAAGTCCAGAAAAGATGGAATGCAATGAAGATTCCAACTTTTCTGCACAATCACAGAAAGGGGGTTACCATTAGCTTCCGGTAGCTCAGTCGGTGGCATGAAGACATCTACAGGCGTGTAGCTGTGTGTCGACCATGGCAGGGCTAGAGGATAGAAGAACAAACAGAACACAAAAATTTAACAGATTTTATTTAACAAAAAAAGCATTTTCATTACATTACAGTTTTACAGTTTTAAAGAACAAAATAAGTTTTACATTTTTGGCGCTGCTATAAAACTATCAACTTATCTTTCGCTGGTCCATTTTGACTCGACTGAAGCGAGGATGGCCAGGTGCTTGAAGTGGAGGTCCCAGTTGTGAGGGGTGACCTCACATATAGTGGCTTCATAACCAGTTGTAGGCGAAGTTGAACTTAAAGGCGATGGCGCTGCCAAGGCACATGCATGGGTGAAGTGATAGGCCAAGCAACGCAAAGTCAAAGACTAAAGCAAAGGGAAAGGGAAAGAGAAAGAGAAAGGGAAAGAGAAAGAGAAAGGGGGTGGCCCCAATCATTTTGTCCTATACGGACACACATTCTACAAAATTCTAGCACATGGTGCTATATGACCTTGTGCTACAGAGAAGAAAATTCTTAGCTCTTGTTCGATCGGCGGCTCAAGTGAAAAGGAAGCGCGAGGAAGATCGCAGATCAGGAACTCGGCATCAAGCGCGCTCCAAGCGGAAAATTTTTCAAGTAAAAAAGCTAGAGATAGGATTAATGAAATGATAATCGAGAAGTGATTTAATAAATACGATCGGACAGTGAAACCGTTACAAACGTCTTGTAGAATAACCTACATAATGTCAAAAAAAGCGGCATAATGTCACTTTTCAAGCTACGTAATCCACGTGGCGTTCATGAAATGAATTTTTGACATTCTAAAGTAATAAGGATTTCGGGAGGAAACTGCTATTACTGCGGCATCATCTCTAACTGGTCGACTTCCTCGATTGCGATTACGGCGAATATTAGACATAGATCCAGTTTCTTGAAATTTTCACATCAACTTAGCCACATAGGATCGTTAATATTTTTGCCTGGATGTAACGCATTAAGCAACCGGCAGTAGTTCTTGCAATGCTCCCATTTTGGTAATACGGTTTTTTGAATTGAATAAGTCATTGTTCAGTATTTATCACAACTAGGTAGGTAACTTAACTATTTGAAATAAAAGACGAAGTCTTTCTATGACATACAATGACACTGACTGATGCTTAATGCTCTTGCTGGTATATACGAGTATATGATTATTATTTTTTCGGTGCATTTCATTATTATCAGTATTAAATGAAGTTAGTCGAATTTTATTGTAAACTCAAATAACTTCACAACGACTGAAGATAGTTATAAACTTTATTATATATGTACAATAGTAACTAAAAAAATGGGAGTTTCATTTAAAAATCTAAAGTTAAACGCAATATCTTATTTTTTGATCACACTGTGTTGTACGGCTATAGATGGAAGGACATCCCCCTAGAAATCAAAGTTGACGTTTGACCCAAAATATACCAGGAGAGTCACAAATGGGAGTGCGAACTTTTGGTTGGGTCACCCTGTATGTTAGGTAAGATAATATAGCTGCTTGAAAGTACACGTTTCAAATTTGAACGAGTAATTTAGATACCGTGCTGTAAGCTGTGACTGCTATTTTTGAAGCACATCGAACGCAGACACTGTGAAGAGCAAATAGTTCAAAAGCTTATCAACTTAAGGTGAAAAGCACCCGCGAAAAGTGTGATTTACATCCTTATGACAACAGAAATTTATAGTTAAAAGTGTAAGTTCTCCCCTAGCTGATTGGCTTTCAGAAATTCAAACTGTTCATAAGCTAAATACAATGCGGATAGCGAACCAAAGGCACGCGTGCCATTGATGGCACGCAACACAATAGTTTGGGCACGTCACCAGTCACTAAATCATTTTTCATTAAGAGAAAAATTGTAAAGTAGGTAGGTATTTATTTTATGACGAGCGAACGCAAATAGGTATAGGTGTTTTAAAACGTCGTGAGCCATCATTCACCAACAAGCCTTGTGTGCTAAAAGTGGTTTAACACCTCTTGATAACATACCAGCGGTAGTTTCAAAAATAGTCAACCTCATCTCGTCACAGGCTTTAAACAAGCGAAAGTTCGATGCTTTGTTAGATGAACTCAACTCGGTGTACAATGGCTTACTGATGTATAATAATGTTCGCTGGTTGAGCCGTGAGAACGTACTTGAAAGATTAGTTAGTTGCTTGGACGAAATGAGACTGTTTCTTCAAAATGAGAGGAAAATTGAACAATACCCACAATTGTTCGATGTTATGTGGCTTTCAAAATTGGTGTTTTCTACAGACATATGCCAACATTTAACCCTTAACTGGTGACCATGGATCTGACAGACCCTGCGCGAAATTCAAATTTCTCCCACTCCCATATTTAACTAGATTTTAGCTTGTCCGCCTACAGTATATTCAGATAAGAGATAGACCGGACATAAACAAGACCACGTGATCATCGAACGCTGTAACATTCGGCAGGGACGTATTAAGAGTCACGCAGTACATATTTTAGATAGTAGATGCTGCTTTGCGTAACTTTGTAGTAAATTAGCACAATTCGATGTGTATACGATTGGTGATGGATATAGGATCATGTGCGGGTGGGGTAAGAAATATATAATGATGTAAATATACATAAGGGTTTCAAAATTTTCGCTTCGATTTCCAGGTTCGCATGCCGTCTGATGTTTGGTGAAATACAGTCGAATATAATCTCAAAATGGCGTTTAAATTAGCCTAAATTAAAAATAATCGTATATCTCTTAAAATTGCTTTTAGAATATTGATGTAACCAAATTAAAACGTTCAAAACGTAAAAAAATGTGCATGGTTGAACATTGTCAGAAAGTAGATTCTTGAATAGGTTTTGCCAAAATGGGTTCAAAAATGTCAATAATTAATTAAAAAATACAGTAGCTTTATAATTACTTATAACTTAACGACTTTGATGAACGACATCTTTTATTGGAAAGATGAGCTTGATGAGCTTTCATCATCGCTACTGCCTGAAGCACCAACGTCAATAATGAATGGCTCGACTTGTTCCTCTAAAATATTGTCCAGTTCCCACATTCTC